GGCGAAGGGGGGAAGAAACGTTCTACATTTCCGTTTAGAGAGGGGAAGAAATTAAAGAAAATTAGCGCTACTATTTTTTACGGATCGACAAAGGGAGAAGAGAGTAAAGTATCCTTGGATCGATACGGTTACATATACTAGACGATGAAAGCGACTAACGTGTGGCTCCCCGTTTCGATGAAGACTCTCCTCGTGTTCCAGAAGTACCTCGACCGCCTCGACGAATTCCTCGGAGATGGCGTGAAGCAGGGCGTCTTTCGTGTCCACTTTGTGCTCGATCAGCAGCTCCACCATTTCCAGATTTTCGTTATCGATCGCCATTAGAAGCGCCGAACGTCCCAACGGGTCCACGCAATTGATGTTCATTTCGGTTTCGAGAGCGCTCTGCAACATCCTGAAACAACATCCACGACACGCTCGCTAACGATCGCTCACTCTCGTTACAAGCTCTCCCATTTATTTATTTATTTATTTTTTTACCTTCGTCTCTCTCTTTATTTTTTTTTTTTTTTTAACCACAAAGCACACGACTCGTCCATTACGTTCGCCGAGGACTCGACGATCGTATTTAGCTGTCCCGTATCCCGAAAGCGCGAGCCAAATGAGAATTCCACGGTCGGTGAAACTTTCTCGTGCATCGGAATCGGTATTAATCGCTTCGGGTCGAACACTACGCCGCGAAGAATTCCGAGAAGCATGCCGGGATCGCGGGACGATTGTTCGCAAGATAATTAGATCCTTTGCCCCCCAGTCGCAACGACTAGTGAATCTATATAAACGCGTTCGACCTTCTCTCGCGAGATCGCTCGTCCTCCTTAACGCTCGAAAGTCCTACAGGCGACCGATCTCTTTATGCCAACGCGTGTGCACGCTCGTTTTGCATAAAAGCCACGATTGCGATGCTCTCACGCGCTGTTTGCTCCCGCTTTTCAAATTAACCATTGTAGTCGCATTGAAAGCGATCGAAACAATACCTTCGCCTCTCTCGCCAATTTTCACTCGTTGAATATTCACGTCGCAGATGTATGCACATTCGCGGCAGGGAATGTTTCTCCTCCGAAAAATATACACCACTGTGCCTGGTTTGATACGTTTCTATTTATATCCGTGTTATAGAAAACTAGGAATGAATAGGAGCGACAAAATGAATAGTGTGATTCGACCAACGTAATTTAAATATTAACCGCGTGAGACACATCTCGCGTCGCAATTTATAAGATGCTTATAGCACGAGATACGAACAATATCATTCGCGATGTGCTGATAAACGAATTCGCACGTTTTCTTTACCATACTGGTAAAACTCGACATTTTAACGACATTATTGATCTCTTTTATATTAACCCTTTGGCTACTATTGGCGCCTACAGGCGCTTAACTTACTTCAATCCATCGAAACGAGAGGCTCTCGTTGCTCGAATCGAATTGAAGGCTTTGTTATCGACAATAGTTGCAGCAAACTTCACTTGGATCGGACGTAAGTGAATTACGTTAGTCGCGTATCATTTAACGATGATTATTTCATAGTTACTTCGTTTTAATAAAAAAAATTAAAAAACGTGGTAATAAGTTAATCAGGAAAAGGCGGAAAAACATAACGGAAGAACGGAGACGCATTACGAATGCAAGAAATGCAATGTGAGATTACGCATTGACCCATTCTTTTTGTCTCGAATTGCACCACACTTTTCATTAGATATATTATGAAACAAAGCTTAAAATTACCGTGAAATTTTTAGAATAGAATACGAACAAATAAGCAATATTTAACGAATAAGGTTTAATGTAGTGCTCAATTCGGTGTTTCAATGATTTCAATATACTTTCTGAGAAATGCACGCTGACGAGAAATTTTTCAAGAACATGACCGATACCCTTACGGTATGCTACATGTAGTACGTATCGAAATCTATCGTAACGAGAGGTTTTTTTT